GCACTCAGTGTTCATATTGTAGCAGTAAACAATGAGTAATCCTATACGTTGTCCCTCGCAGCGTGTCCATCCGCCTGCCCAGCACCAGCGGCTGTGACGGCACCATGTTCAGGTCGGTGCCTGAGTGGCTGGAGTCCATCAAAATGAGCCAGTACAACGAGAGCTTTGCTCGCGCTGGGATCACGACCATGGAGCAGGTGCTCGCCTTGAGGCATGAGTAAGTGCACACATGGCACATGTGCAGCAGGCCATACTTTGCAGTAACACAGAGAAAGTATTGAGCTCACAGCATGAACATTTGTTATCCAGTTTGGTAATGCAGAAACACACTGCCCATGCCATTCCTCTCATTCTCTACTGCCATAACTTCCACAGCAGTTATTCCCTGCTTTATTTGTCTGATGTACCCCCACAGCCCTGTAGCCTTTTGTCAACACCAACTAGCTTTATCCATTACTTTTGCTAAGTATTTTAAATCTTTCATCCATTACTTTTGCTAAGTATTTAAGAGGCTGGTGTGCGGTGCGAGAGCGAGGGACAGTATACTAAGTCGCTAGAGTGATTTAAGAGAGAAAACGTACTGGAATGTGTACGCGATTATACTGTGAGATCTCTTTCTAAAGTATAATAAACTATTGTTATCCCCATTACTTTACAGTAAGTTTAGAATTTAATAATTAAAAGCTAACTGAGAGTGATCCAATGTACAGTGTGCTACGAAGTATAATGTTAAACCGTCTACGATACCAGTTGAAGAGGGCGGGGGGGCTGGTTTAGCTAAAAAATCGGGGCCCTATGTTTCCACGAGAGCGTCTTCAGCCTTATCCATTACTTTTTTACTAACTTTTTCAAGTTCGCCTTTAATAGGCCTTAGTTGAAATTGATCCATTTCTTTAATTTAAATTAGCTGAACTTCCAACCAAGTTCCCCACTGTTGACCACTTTGTTAGGGAAGATTGATATGTTTTTAACTTTGATGTGGTGGTTTTGGCTAGAAATACTTCCACTACAAAATGTTGAACAAGTAATTCCCATTAAATGTATCTTTTATGTGGCCCTGATACAATTTAACTTAATTTAAAACCCGGTATAATGTATTATATCACGAATAAATTCATTCCCTTTCTCTATTGCTCCAGTCCCCTATTCAATTAGAGAGTGTCCTTTAAAATCAGTTGGGATATTTCTCTCTCTACTCCCT